AGAATGCACCCAAAATCCACTTGCGGCCTCTTTATACCAAACTGCACAATTAATATATAAATTAGTGTAAAATTCAAATAAAATAAAGATCAAATATGAATATATGGTTTGTAAAAGAGGGTCTAATTACAGATTTATCAATACTATCATTAGAAAAAGCATTGTCTAAAGTGATAGAAAATAACTTTTTGTCTATTTTCTAGTATTTCAAGCAATCAAATAGTATAACTTCTAATTCAGATCCAGTATGTGGAGAATTCTACTAACTAATTTCCATTTATCATTCACAAAGTGTGTTGTCAAACAAATATATCCCTTAATAGTAGAAGTTGTTCATACATCAGAAGTTAAACGCACTCTATTAGAAATTTCAAACAAAATTTGCTTGAGTTTATCTTTCTCTATAGTATATACCTTTTTAATATCTAAAAAAATAATGTTCCTAGAAGACATCACAACACTTGGATTTAAATACTTTATCCATTCCCTAATACTCTCATATTCTACAAAATTAAAGGAAAGATCATTCTGAATTATAGCTTTGGCAAGCAACTCATGGTGGATCTTTTGATTGATTTGTGTCATGCTGAACTTTGGTTAAATAACATCTCATCCATATTTAGATTTGAGTTTGAAATCCCTTTCCAAACAGAAATATGGTGACTTAAATGTGAAGTCCCATAGTTTGTTTTTGACTTGGGATTTTTACCAATTCCATAATCACGTTCACAAAAATTACATGTAGCTCTTTCCACACCATCCTTATCTTTACCAATTTTTGAAAAAAAAACTTTCACACATTTGAAGTCTCTTTCTTTGCTAACTTAGCATTTTCAGAAAAAGTAATTAGAGTTTCAAAAACAACTTCATTTTCCACATTTACATGTTGATTTGTAGATTCCATAATAAAATTCTATATTTTAAAAAAGTAGTCTAATCAATATCCATCCATTTTATATACCAAAAGACATATGTGAAAAAAAAAAAAAACACATATTTACTACAAATGCATTGCAAGTAGAAACTTATTATGCATAATAAGTTAAAGTTGTAATTTCTGTTCAAGGGACAAAATTCTTAATACTAAAATATCAATACAATTTTGATTATATTAAAATTGCATTCATCTATGCAAGAAAGTGTTCCAATTAGATATTTACACAAAAGATCCCCAAGTACACAAGAGAAGCAAGAAAATATTGATCATGTGATCATCATGAATGTGTCATTGGTAAGTTCTAACAAAACAAATTCTTATGTGCAGGTGTGTGAGAGACAGAGAAAGTAAGCAAGAAAATTTGTCTTTCTGAGCACCATCATGCATAATGAAATTCATGCATGTGTTGTCAAGAATAAAACATGATGTCGTGTAATTTTTTAAGTTGTCATATCACGTAGAAAATCAAAAGTGCATAAAAGAAAAGATCAAAGACCTTTTAATTTGAGAATTATGATAACAACAGATAGCATAAACATCTTTTAAAAGCTTGATGATATTGCCCAACCAATTTCAGAATGTAATACCTTGATGAGAAGTGAGCTCTGAGGAATTATTGGGATTAAGTATGTAAAGATGAATAACTGCTTCAACAAACTTCAATGCCAACAGCTCTAAGGAACTATTGGGATAATGTGTGTAAAGATGAATATACTTTGTCTTTGAATTTAATCATCCATGTCCATGCAGATTCAAGTGCACTGTCTAAATCACTTGAGCAGCAACAATTCTAATTGCAACATTATCCTTATGAAATAAACTATCTCTCAATGATCAAGTTGCGACACCAAAATCTCCCTCTGACTTAAAATTCCAAAACCCAAATTCAAAAACGAAGATAAACAATTCACAATCATTTTACTTATAATCAAAATATTTATTTTATGGGTGGAGTGGGGACTCTGTTTCAATTTGAAACCTTTAAGAAAATATGAAAACTATCAAATTCTCAGAATAGTTAAAAGAGTTCAGAATTGATAAAAAGTCTTTTCCTTTTTTTTTCCTCAAAGCTTATTATGAACCAAACAAACCTGACACGGAAGAGGAGCAACGAACAACGAGTGCTTCGCTTGAACATGTATCACAAGTACAAATGCAATTAAGTCTTAAACATATGCATAATTTGCTACATAGTGAAATCAATAAGTTTGTTTACCTATTCACTTAAAGCACCATTATGGTTATGTTAGTATCTTTCACTTAGCTAAGGCTCTAAATCAATCAAACACTTCATATTTCTCTGTTCCAACACGTGACCATCATATATACCCATTAAACAAAGACCCCTATATCGATAGCATATTATTAGTGAACATATCAGCCTCTTTGATTTGTGCACCTCCTCCCAAAATATCTATACTATAATGCTCTATGGATGTTGGGATGCCATATATATTATTCATATATATAATTAAATGCCAAGCTTAATTCAATAGATATTAGTTATCATTGCATGCAATTTGAGTCCAAGCTTAATTCCTCACATTTGTACAAATCTTCAACTCACTGTAAAGGTTAATACTCACACTTAAGCGCACACATACCATTGCAGTATAGCAAACATCATTCCTTTAAGGAATTGCATCAAATATATTGTTAACATCAAGGTTAAGCATATATTTTCAAGCAAGAGAAGTTAAAATCTGTGGAAACACCATAAATAGTTTATTACCCCCAAGTTACATTCAGATACTATAACTCTCGTGCTTTCTACCGTTCCAATCTGTTCTCTTTTTCTCTTTTGGGGCTGAAAAAATTGTTGAAATTAGGGTTTAGCTTACAAAATCTTTTTCTTGTTTGGGGCTGCAAAACAGTGGAGTTCAAACTTACTCAAATATTTTATCCAAAGAAAATTATCCACGGGCCGACCCTAGTATTTCATATTTTAATCCATTTTTATTTATGAGTCATATGGGTTAGGGCTAAACAGCCCTATTATAAAATGGGCTGATAAAAAATAGGGCCAATGATAAAATTTTAAAGGTCACCCCCAAGTTTTATTCTCATTTGCCAGCTCTAATTGAAGTTAGTTAAATCTCATAAGAATTACCTTGTTATCTAATTTTTTTTTTTTGACAATTTAGTACAAGTTGGATAATTTCATACTTTAATGTTGGTTTTCAATAAAAAAAAATTTCAAGTATGAGTCTAGTGAAACACCTCTTTCACAAAATAATTTTATACTATAAATTTATGAATATCATATAAAACTAAAAGTTATATGTCCGATGATTCAAATTAAAAGTTAAGTAGTAAAATTTTAAAATTTTGTCAAATACCATTTCCACACATGGGATTTGAATTATCTAAAAAAATACTAATTTTTTTAAGGAATGAAAAAAAAAATCTTCCTTACTTTAGGAAATTCATCTACTAATGATATCATGTTAAAAACTTAGAAAAAAAATCTTGTATTGTAAAATTGTTTGTTATGTGATGGATAATTTTTGTTTATTTATATTATTGTGCATATATTTTAAATTTAATTATACAAGAATGATTGAAAATGTCTAATAAAACTTTGCATAAAATTAAAAAAATTTCAAATATGTGAGAATTTAATAAAAAGTTAATAAGAAATAATAAACTCATAAATGATTATATTAAATGTACAAATACGATATGTTTCAATATTTTAATATTCAACTTTGTCATACAATATTTTAATTGTCTTTAAAATAATAATAATAATAAATTAATATAAATAAAATTTCTAAGAAAATCCAATTTAAATTTAAAAATAGAATATTTATTGATATAATTTTAAAAGTTTGACTATATAAGGCTTATTTTTACACAATACTAGTAATAAAAACTGATATAAAAGGTTTCAAAATTATCAATATTAAAAATAAAGTTTTTAAAACTTAAAAACAAAACTAAAGTTAAGTAAATTATAAAAGTTAAAATTTATTAAAAATAAACGTTACAGTACATCCCGTAACCCACTTCAAACATGATTGTTTAAGTGTAAGAAATTTATAATTTAAAAAATAATAATATTTTTAATTAATTTAAATTTGGACTTCAATACTACCAAACAAACATGTGGATCAACTTAACTACAATAATATTGTCACTAGTAGAAGATATTCATAAAATCCTATAAAGCACAATTAAGTTTAGCAAGTAATAAAAGAAAAATATTGATTTAATAATTTTTAGAGATAATTAAAATTTATTTTTAAATATTTTTTAAAATACAACGTGTATATAAAAAAAGTTATATAAATATTAAAATTTAATTATTTAAATAACATTTCATTAAAAAGTGTGTTTAAAATGGAGAAAATTAGTATCATATACATATATATATTACTATTTTTTAATTACAAGTAAAAATTTATTTTAATAATTTACAAATATTATTAAAATAAAATTATAATTATAATAAAAAATAAAATATTTATAGTACTAAACTCAAATTTTATCGATAAAAAATAGTATTTCTATTGGCATTTATTTATGTATTGTGTGGATTCATTGAAAAGAAGATGAAATGAATAATTTTGTAAGGAAAATATTATTTTCTCTAATTCAATGCTAAAATTTCTGTATGAACACGAGAGAGAGAGGGAGAGAGCGTGCTATGATATTTTTTTATTTAAAATATTATAACATATTTAAAAATAATTAAAAAATTATATAATTGAAATTAAAAATATATTACATTTTTTAAATTTTTGTTAAAATTAAATTTTTATTGTTATTATAAAATATTTTTGTACGAATTATTATTATTATTTTACTTTAGAGTAAATTTATTTCATATATTTCTCTCTTATTATTATTATTTTTGTAGTGATTTTGTATTTGATTGAAGCAAAGCATGAGCGTAGGAGGATCTTGAGTGTAGTAATAAAATAATAACAGAGTATTACTGTTGGGAAAGAAAACCAGATGCGGAAACCAACAACGGAAGCAGAGCCCACAGAGAAAAGAGAAGACAATAAAGTCTCCTCATTTTGTCTAATGCATTCACCGTTCATTCAAAGAAAGAGAGATGAAAGCGAGGCAGTTCCGCGTTGGGTCTCGGAAATGGAAATGGTGGAGAAGGTGGTCATGGACGCTCATGCTCACATTGTCGCTGACCTTTACATTCCTCTTTCTCATTCTCCTCGCTCTCCCCAAACCCCACCATCTCAGCTCCATCTCTCGCACCACTCACTCGTACACTCTCTCTCCCTATCCCATTCTCTTCTCTTCTCTTCTCTTCTCTTCTCTTCTATTCACTCTTTTTCCACTTCCTTTCTTTCTCTCTCTCTCTCTTCTGTAGAACCCTAGGCCAAGAAGACAACGTGCCAGAGCGCTGGGTTGAAATTTTCTCCTGGGAGCCTAGAGCTTTTCTCTATCATCACTTTCTGGTCTGTTCTTTCTTATTATTATCATTTCAAAAGTTAAATTATACATGTAATTCACACTAGTTTCGTGATCAGTTTTCATGCGTTAAATTTGAATTCAGTGTTTTGTTATATTTTCATTCTTGTCGTTCTAGTTTCTATTCTTATTATAACGATTAAAACATAATAGAACTCTTTAACATAGAATAAAATATAAGTTTTTTAAAGTATAAAAGTTAATTTATAAATAAGACTTAATTATAAATATTAAATATATATTTTAATTAAAATTAAATTTTTAATAAACTTATTTAAAAATATTAAATATAAATTATTAACAAATTATAAACTTTTAAGAGACTAAAAGTTTATATATTTAAGTTAAAAATTATTATTTAAAGTTTAAAATTATACGTATTAATTTATAAAACTTATTAATTTGATGATCATAGAGTAATCTAAAAATTATAATTATAGTTAACAAAATATTAAAAATCATTTATATATAATAAATTTTTTTATTATAATTCAAAAAATTAGATATTTTTTATAAATAAAATATTTTAATTGAAAAGAAAGTAAAGTAAAAATTAATTAATGAGATTTTAAATTTGTATAATAAAAATTGTTTACTTATATTATAATTAAAAAATTACTAAAATAATATAACTTTATGTCTTAATTATAATAAATGTTTATTTTGATGTAACAAAAGAAATTTAAAAATTTATAAAAATGATATATCATATAAAAATATATTATATATAAATTCATATAGTTATGTATTAAAAAATTATAATAAAAATACTAATACTAATATTTATTCATTTCTTTAAAGTAAGATAAAAAGCAAAATATAAAATTAAATAAAATTTTTATTAATTAAGAGTAAATGATATGAAGATAAAATCAAATTATATTATGTTTTTTTAAATTAAGTGTAGTGTTATATATTTTCTTAAAATCATAATGAGTTAAAATATATATTTAATTTCTATATTTAACGCGATTATAAATCAGTTCTTATATTTAAATAAAACAAATCAGCCGTAAGTGTCAATTAAATATGTAACTTGAGTAAGTTAGAGTTGTTTTTTCGTTAATATTGAAATGTCCCCATTTTTTAAATACTGAAATTTGGCGGATAAATGGGAGCAGAGCAAGGAGGAATGCGAATATCTAATCAAAATAGCGAAGCCAAACATGCACAAGTCAACAGTTGTTGATAATGAAACTGGAAAGAGTATAGACAGCAGGTTGGAAATATTTCTGTGTAGTGTTGCTTTGTTTAGATATTGCTCATGCCAAACCTCTTCCTTTTGCATTTAGAGTACGGACAAGCTCTGGAACTTTTCTGACCAGAGGACGTGACCAAATTGTTAGCAATATTGAGAAAAGAATTGCTCATTTTACTTTTATACCCATCGGTACGTATTTTCTGCTCTTTCCCTTTTTTTGTGTTTTCTTGTGCGTTTGGAAACATTTTGAAGAAAATGTAAATCCAACGCAACAGGTACTCTTGCGGTAAACGTAAATATATAGTTGTTCAAACGTGAATCTAAACACATAAATTGTTTATAGGATTAATAATTCGTTGCTCTTGCTAATTTTTCTGGTTCACCAATGTATCAATAATAGTATGTCTGCCCACCATCCCCTGCATCCTCTGCCCAAAGTTTCCTTGAGCCTGCCTCTCTAGTTCCCCTTGTGTTTAAAGACTCCCCCACCAGGATCCCTAAATTTAGAACAGTTATGGACAAATAAATTTTGGGTCGTAATGCAAACGAGATTCAAAACAGTACATGCTCATAAGAAATTAAATTTTAAACCTTTATCTTTACATTGAAACTACAATAATGTATTTTGAAAAGTTTGATTTTGACTCACATATGGCACTTTTTAACACTATTTGCAATATCATCAAAAGAGTTTGATACTTAAGGTAGTTGTTATCATAGTCAGACCCTTTTAATGATGTGGCAACGTATGATTGGATGATACTTTAAAAATGTCTTTCTTTGATTGTGGATTAAAAGGAAATGAAAGATAAATTTGCAGTTGTTTCTTAAGTGATTTCATATTTTCAAAACACAATTTATCAAGTGTTTATCTCTAATATATAATAAAACAATCCTTTATCTCTTCTGTGCTTGGTAATAGGAATTTAAAATATTTTTAGCGACTAAATGCCGAATCAATCTGTCACTTTAGTTTGTGTAATATGCTTGCTTCTTGAATGAATATTTTGACAACCCTGCATGAGACTGACTTTTGTGGAGTTGAAGTTATGTTTGTGCTTCATTATTCTGCTTGCTATCCCTTGGGTATTTCTAGGCTTTTCTCTTGTATTGTATATGAAAAGAAAAAAATATCATGTACTAGAAAATTCCTTGGAAATCACACCAATAATGGGATCCATATTATGATTTTAGTAATTAATTTGCTTGTTGAAACTGAAATATTTATTGTATAAACATGTAAAACTCAAGGCTGCGCTTCTACTTTCGTTATGAAATGTTTGAATTCCATCTGTCAGCTCTAGACACTGTCATTACAACATGTTTTACCTTAGTTTTCATTCTTAAAAAGATTGAAACAACCGCCAAAGCAATGGGTCATCATGATGTTATTTGGCTATTTCACACCATTTATGAAGAGTTCTGAATAAGAGATATTTTAAATCTAATTTTCCTCCAAGCAAGAAAGATGGAATATTTTTAATTGTCTTTGGCATCTGGACGTGATGATCAGATGGTATCTCATTTTTCATCATGTACTTAAAAATCCACTACATAAGCTGTGTCTCATAATAAGCAGAGCATGGTGAAGGACTTCAAGTTCTCCATTATGAAGTTGGGCAAAAGTATGAACCTCACTTTGATTACTTTATGGACGAGTTTAACACTAAGAATGGGGGTCAGCGGATAGCAACGGTACTGATGTACCTGTAAGTGACTTCAGTTGCCTCTTATTTGTTATTAACTTCTATTTGTATTGGATATGAAGGCAATACTCATGCCCATGCTCTTTTTTGTTGTTTAATGATACAGTTCAGATGTTGAAGAAGGAGGGGAGACAGTGTTCCCAGCAGCAAAGGGAAATTTTAGCTCTGTCCCTTGGTGGAATGAGCTTTCTGATTGTGGAAAAGAAGGACTTTCAATTAAGCCAAAGATGGGTGATGCTTTACTTTTCTGGAGCATGAAGCCCGATGCAACTTCAGATCCATCGAGTTTGCATGGTTAGTTAGTTTCTCTTGTATATGCATTATTTTATTATTATTGAGCTGCTTGTTATGTCAACCAACTTCAGATAAATTAACAAGCCTACCTGTTTTTGTTATACTATTCAGGTAGTTGTCCCGTGATTAAGGGTAATAAGTGGTCATGTACCAAATGGATGCGTGTCAATGAATTCAAAACATAAAAGATGCATCACTATAGGTATTTATCTCCCTTTTCCTTTTTCACTGACATTAATATAGTTTAACAGTTAAGGCTAGACAACACTGTCATTACACTATTTTAAAATTATTGTAATTGAGGCCAAACTGAATGTGTACATGCAATGTCATATAAAAAGCAGTTGTAAGCCAAATATCTTAAATTTATCATATCTCTTGCACTATTGTGTTTAAATTCTGGTGTTGGGGGACTTCAACTGGACATCAATTTCTTATGCATTAACCCTGCTAAAACTGGAAAACTGATATCTGTTTACTTCATATTCTACTTTGTTTACAGAGTTGGAATTTCTTTCCAACCTTTACTCTGAGCAGTGGCCTTTTTGTTTTAATAAATTTAGCATGACAGTTGTTGCAATTTACCTCTCACATTGATTTACTTCTTGTTCAGGCTTATTTTTGTTCGTCATGTCAATATTATACCATATTATTGTTGGAGCCTCTGAGGGGTGGAAGGAAAATGTTATTTACCGCATGTTGCCGCACTCTAATTTTGGATGCTAGACTATACCTCAATTCTTTGTTCTACCCTTTCCTGTCATATTACTAATGAATATGAGTAAATTTATATAGATATGTGGATTTGCATTAGGGAGGCTCAAGAAAATATATGAAAACAAAAGATGGAATGTGTATATACCACCGGCTTTTCATGCAGTTTTTAATTTGCCTGTGCTCGAGTTCTTATTGCAATTTTTTTATAGCCTTTATTCCATATTATCCATTTAAAATCAGTGTATGGCGTATAAATGCCTCCTTTAACGATAAAAGTGTCTCTAATTTAATAACAAAGCCTTACACATTCAAGATCAATAGAAGTATTTATACATTTGAAAATTGAATTGAAGAGAAAATACGAGGAAAGAATTTTTTAAAGTTTTATTTCTAAAATTCATTTTTTCAGCATTTTTACTTATTATTGCTTTTTTGTAAATTACCAAATTATATATTTTTTTCAAAACTAATTTCTTAGGGTAAATCTAGCTATGTGGCATAAGTTTCGCCTGTCTGTTGAAAAATCTAGTCATTAAAAATGCAAAACTTATAAAATTTTAACACGTGTTAAGATCTTATTTTACAATTATGATGGAAAATATTTTTTTAAATTAAGTTTGGTTATAAAGATGGTTTTTTTTTCTAAAATAAGGTAAAATTAAATATAAATTATCAAAATAGGGCATTGACAAAATATTTTTCCTGATTAGGATGCTTTTTGTCATGCCATTTTAAGTATTTGTCTTTATAAGAGAAGATATTTATTTTTTTAATAGTAAAATAATAAGTATTGTATTTATATGAGACCATACTTTTTTTTTAATAATAAAAAATAAAAAGATAAGTTTCATTTACTATATGAATGATACTTATTTTTTTATTATTAAAAAATAAGTCAGATGGAATAGGGGGATTGAGATAGTGGGTTCAGGCTATGGAAGATAATGTTTTTTTAGGAAGAAATTGTTCCCTTTAGTAAGAACCATATCTTTTCCACAAAAAAATTATTTCTCCCTGTGTAACCACAATCATAGGCTTGCAGCAAGGAATAACAACCATCTTTAATGGCCATAATTTCATGTCACTTTGCATTGAAACATCTTATAACACCTTTTCATAACGTCAAAATTAAAGTAACGTAGTCATCAAACAATTATTCAACAAAAGTTAACATGAATCACAATGTACATGTTATAAAAGAGAGGAAAATTGAAAGAAAAAAAAAGTGTTAGAGGATGATTTGAGAATACTTACCAAAAAGAATGTTGATCGGGTTTATAGTGACTTGTGGGTGCCTTAGCCAAAAACTCATCTTCCACCCTGAACCCATTATTCCAATCCCTTTATTTCATTTGACTTACTTATTTCGTTTGACTCATTTTCCCAAAACAAAATAAGTATCATCTCATATAAATATGATAATTATTATTTTATTATTCAAAATAAGTATCGTTCCTTACTTAAAATGACGTAACAAAAATCATGATGCCAATATCATCAAATGAAGAAGGATGATCATTATGATTGTGTTGCTATTGTTGTTAGTAATGATCTTATTATTCTTTGTGACTATGAGTTAATTAATCTTGTATTTGATGATAGCATGTGGATAATTAATAATGATGCTATATTGCATGTTACATCAAGTTAGGAGTTTTTTACATCTTATATGTTCGTCCACATAGATTATTTCCAATTATCAAGAATTTCTTAATTTAATTGTTTGAACTTAAAGGATGAGAAATTAAATAATGCAAGAATTTAAATATAAAACTTAATTAAAAAAATTAAAATAGCGTAACCTCTAACAATAAACTTAATTGAGAAGAACCTAGGGCGTATAGTTTCTCCTTTATACTTTTAGCTTAATTATGTTTTTGGTCGCTCTAAATATAGGTCTTTTTGTGATTAGTCCCTACAAATATTTTTGTTAGGAAGTGATCTTTTTAAAGTTAGTAATTTAGGAATTGGTCCCTTCTGTTAACCCCTCCTTTGTTAAGTACTGAACTGGCTGACAGAGAACTAACTCAGCAATCCACGTGAGACAATTTGGCCATGCCACGTCATTTATTATTTATTATTTAAAATTAAAATTTGTAAATAAATCCCTAAACCTATTTTATATAATTGCATAAAAACTCTTCTTATCCATTCCTTTCCTTCTTCTTCACACCGGCACCTCTCCACTACTCTTTTCCCCCACTATCACTCCTTCCCCTATCTCCCTCCTGACATTGTCACTCCTATGAATATTATGATTGATGCCTCTATTAATCTCCGTACATCATAATCTTTCTTCCTTTACGTGAGTCCTTAAACTATGGCCAAGCCCTCTCCCAGAGCCTCCTTTACTTTGAATCTCAACGTTCAGGTTGCTTACCCCACAACCAAAGGGTCACTTGGCATCACCATTTTGCTGTCACTGATGGTCTAGAACAAGGGGTACATTCATTGATCACTTTCTATCTAAACTGTGTTTTTTTTTTTTTTTTTTTCTGTCTACCTATGTTTCATGTTTCAATTTTCGTTCACTCCAATGTTGTTTGTGTTTTCTATCTACCTATGTTTCATGTCACTTCTTTGGGTTTTGGGTTGATTAGTGGGTTGATTCAAATTGGGCAAAAAGGGGAACTTGCTCCTGAAGGGCTCGGGCAAGGGCAAGGTCAACATCGACCTAGCTGAGATTAGTGAAAGGGGTTCTTGAAGGTTGGCAAGGGTTGGGTGCAGATCCAGTTGGTTCTCCTTCTTCATCAGCTTCTGGATCCTCTTGTTCTTCTTCTTATTCAACCTCCACGTGTTCCGTCATGTGTTCCTCCCTATTCAAATTGGAATGCTCTTCTTCTTGGTTCTGATTGTTCGATTTCACTCCTCTTGAACCCACTTTGCTGGTGGTGTTGTGGTGGTTAGTGGCAGCATCGCTGGTGTCGTTCTCCATACCAAGAAGAAGAAACCTAACAGGAAGAGAGAGAAAATGGGTAATTGAATACAAAGAAGAAGAAGAATGAGAAAGATAGATAGATAGATGTATGTATGTTATGATCAAATCCCAGAATCAATCGAAGAGAATATAGTAAATATATTTTTACAGGATATGGAATGAAACATTTTTTAAATACTAAAGATAAAATAAAGTACCGAGAAAATAACTTAACAAACAAGGGGATATCTTTTTAATCTTATTGTACTATGTTGATTTTGGTTCTGTGCATTGTGGATTTTTAAATGGTAGGTTTTTAAACTCCCTAATAAGAAAGAGGCAGTTTATAGGGCATTAGAAAAATGGACAGCTTGGGAAACAAAGTTCCCACTGATTGTTATGGCAAAGGCTTTAAAAATCTTAAGTAAAAGGAGTTAGTAGGTTTGTGTAATTCAAGTATGATCACTAGTCTTTTAAAAAATTCTTGTTATGTATCTTACCAAATGCTTTAGTTTGCCTTTATGAATTTTTAAAGAATATTTGACATCTAATAACCTTCAGTTTGTTGATGATTGATAAATTTTATTTTCTTAACATGCCCTAGAGCTTATATGCTTTTGTTTAAAGTTTTTTGGGTTTTAAAATCATCATATCCTCATAAAATAAATGATGGCTATTTGTTAAAATTTTGACAAATGAATTTAAGAGTTAGCCAATGCTGAAATTGATCAATTGTGCTTTTAAATTGAGAATTAGAACAAGTGAGAATTAGAACAAGAGCATAGGAAGAAGATAGGGAATCAACCAATTAAAATGAGTACATCAATACACATTAATGAGGACATTGCTGGATCTTAATGTCTTGAGATTTGCTATTTTGATGCAATTGTCTTGTGTTATAATTCTGTTGCATCGTGGCTAACCAATTTGATTCATTGTCGTGTATACAGGTCCAACATAGCTACTGATCAATCAGAGATTGTATTACATTGAGGGATTGGGGCACTGCGCCCTAAATTGGAAAATGATGATGTTGTAATGTATAGAAGGTTTTGTGGGTTTATAGATGAAGTGGTTGATGGTGTTGGTGATAAGTTTGGTGGGGTTAGGAGGAAGAGTGTGAGGAGGAGGAAGGGAAGAGGTTGGGGTTGTGGGTGTGGGGGAAAGGAAAGGAGGTAAAAGTTAAGGTGTGGGTGTGAGGAAGAAGAAAGGAGTAGGTTGTGGAGGAATGGCTGCGAGAAGGGGGAAGATGGGGAGGTATGAGACAATAAAAAATTAAACTTGTTTGCAAATATAAAAAATATAATGAGGAGTTTTTTGTAAAAATTAATTTTAAAAAATAAAAAATAAATGACGTGACATGTCACGTAAGAAGTAATTGGGTCACGTGGATTGCTGAGCTGGCTTTCCGTCAGCCAGTTCAGCACTTAACAGAGGAGAGGTTAACAGCAGGGACCAATTCCTAAATTACCAACTTTAGAAGGACCACTTCCTAACAAAAATATTTGCAGGGACTAACCACAAAAAAGCCTATATTTATAGGGATAAAAA